GAAGAACTGATATTGCAACGATTGTTTAGACACATTCCCATACAGCTCGAAAGAAAAGGAACAAGTTAAAGCATAGCTGGAACTGACGTGCTTTTTCACTAGTTGGAAGCAGTGACACGGACTTGCGAACCCAATCTTGCTAGACAGGCAGAACTTTTATACAATCTGAAACTCTTTAAGAAGTGTGAAGTTGGTTCCATCAGGAAAGTGGGAAGTCATATTTCTGTACTAGCATTGCCCGGTGTACGGGTACATTTATTTTTGTCAGCTTGGTTGCCACCGGGGCGTAAAGCTGCCCATTCACCTGTATCTAGTGCCGAGGTAAAGGATACGTATATCTATACATCCACTCCTACACAGGTCTTCATGGGGTAGTGCTAAATTCATTAAACACTTTCTTTACTTAAGCCGTTCTTCTTATACCTTACGGTGTAGAGGTTTTTTTTTTAATTTGATAATTTTACAGACAGTAGGTCTCTTTGACAGTGTTCAGCTCGTTGCAAGGCCTCTGCCTAGACGCAGGACAACACAAACAGAATAAACATATACACATACCAAACATCCATGCCTTCTGTGAGATTCAACCCACGATCCCAGTACATGCCTTAGACCGCTCGGGTACCGTGACCGGCTTCATTAAACACAGGGACAACAAACTTAGTTTAGTTATTATCAAGTTGGCTGCTACAAAATAACTGTTTTACATACGTAGTAGCCAATGGTTCTCAGCTTACCCTTCCTTATTCAGGCAGTGTGTTTCTCTGCGTCACATTAGCTAGGTGAAGCTAGCTTAACTAATTAAGCACTACGCCATGAAGACGTGTGAGGGAGTGACTGTATAGATCCACATATCCTTGATATCGGCACTAATTGGAATTGAGTGGTCAGCTTCACAACCCGGCCGCTCTACTTCCTGGGAATGAGCCCCCGCTACCCATTGGATAGGAGGTTGAGTGTGTCCTACAAACAGTCTGATCAACGTGGAGAGGAAAAACATCTTGCCCCTACCTGGGCTCGACCTCCGACCCCTCGGTCGTCCAGCTCGTAGCCAGTCTCTATACCGACTGCGCTATCCCGTGTAGTACCAGTAAGTAATAGTAAATTCTAAATGGTTGTGACGGTGGTGTACAACCATCGAATACCGTCAAATGAGAAGGTAATTACGAAATTACATGTTGACAGAAAGGTCAGGGTGGAGTTGTGGCTTAGTACTCTCCTGAATTTTACCTGGGAGGAATTTAGATAATCAACAACAATCTCAGCCAGGTTATCTGTACTGTCAGCCTAGATTCGAATGGAGGATCTCCCGAATGTAAGCATTAGTGCTGACCACTACCGATACAATGCACGTGTTAGAACGCGACAGGTTGAGAAAATGAATGTTAGAAGGAAAATTTGTCCTGGTATTTGGCTGGAGAGGCTGAAAGACTCAGGATTACAGGTCCCTGGATTCAGTCCAAGAACCGTCAAGTGGGTCAGACACGTTACCACAGAACAGCATCTATCAATAAACCGTTTTCAAGAGACTTCTGATTGGATACTTGGGTAGGTTGCCACCATAACCATCGGTCGGAGTATGAAGAACTATTAATAATTCATTCTACACACGCACACACAGACATATATATATATATGTATTAAGATAAAATACATTTGGGATACATGGGCGTAGATAAGAAGATAATATTAAATTGGATCTTAAAGAAACAGGGTGCCAGGGTTCTAGCTTCGGGTTCCACAAAGTATTGAGAATTATTTGAGTAACTGGGCGATTATTGGCGTCTTATAATGGTCTCTGCTCCATGAAATTAGAATAGTGAATTTCGTTACAAGGATAAATAAAAGAAACAGTATATGACATAAACACCGTCCCAAGTGCAACAATTGATTGTAGTTCTTTTGTCTTGCAAGACAAAAGAACTACAATCAGTTGTTGCACTTGGGTCGGTGTTTATGTCATATATCGTATAGAGTGCAACAGGATGCTTAAATATATATTACAAAGAAACAGCTATACCCAGAGGTAGAAACAACTCACAAAAGAAGTAGTGTCATTAACTTTGCATTGATCAGTTTTAATTTATTTTTAGGTGTCTTAATTCCTTTTCCCTTGGCACTACCTCCATGAATTTCTCCGTTCACTTCGGTTTTTCTAGAGCTTACACATTCGGTAGGACTCCTTGGGCGGGTGATCAGCTCGTCGCAAGGCCTCTACCTGTATACAAACACAGAAAAACACACACACACAAACTAAACATCCATGCCCTGAGTGGGATTCGAACCCACGATCCCGCTTTCCAAGCGAGTGAAGACAGTACATGCCTTAGACCGCTCGGCTACCGTGACCAGCCTAATTTATTTTTAGGTGTCTTAATTTTTTTCCCCTTGCCACTACAGCCCCAGTGGGCCTAGGCCTACCTCCATGAACTTCTCCGTTCACTTCGGTTTTTCTAGATCTTACACATTCGGTAGGACTCCTTGGGCAGGTGATCAGCTCGTCGCAAGGCCTCTACCTGTACACAAACACAGAAAGACGCACACATACAAACTAAACATCCATGCCCTGAGTGGGATTCGAACCCACGATCCCGGTTTCCAAGCGAGCGAAGACAGTACATGCCTTAGACCGCTCGGCTACCGTGACCGGCGGGGTCTTCATTTAGTGACATGAAACTATTTTGACTGCACGAATTTAAGTGATCATGTTGTGTAGCAACGAATGAGGTGGGAAGACAATCGCAAATGGTGAATCGGTAAGTATTTCTAAGAAGAACATGGCGTGCGTTAAAGTATATACCAGCACTCGCATGAAGAGACTGAAGTCAGTATTGACTTCTTGCCAGTCAACATTTTAAGGAAGTACCTCCCAAATACAATTCTGGCATGTTGCTCTTCCAGCACTCTACTGTATCCCAACCGCTATCGTCTTTTTTAAGTTAATGACCCTGGTTTTAAAATTCGGAATCGTTAAGCTTCCCCGTTTTCATTGTCAGCATCTCACGGAGCTACGGGGAGAAGTGTCTCATTTCTGTTGGAGGGGCATTGGATTTGTAGGCTCTTTTGCAGATATCGATTTTTCTAAAGCAGTTTTGTGGAAGCCTGCGTGGGAGATGATTTCCTAAAAGGATCCAAAGCAGTGTGTATCGTTTGAAGTGGTTCGTACGAGGAAATAATTGAGTGCTTCGTTAGTACCGATGACCTTTCCTGTTTTCTTACTTAAGATTTTAAATTAGATTAATTATGTAATAACTTACTGGTGACTTGAACATATCACGAGATAATTCAAGGCACGTTCAGTGTTAATTTATTGAAAAATTCTGGTAAAATTCGCTAGAGGCAGTTTTTTGACGATTGAAAATGTTTTAACTTCTTTTTTTCCACCATTAGGCTATGCTGTTTATGTTCTTAGACTGAAATCTTTTGATGTATTTATGATACAGCAGGCCTACTATAGAAGACCATTAGACAGGTGATCCAATAGAATGATTTTATCTTAAGAGTACTGAAAAAAAAGTAATGCGCCTTTCCTTGTTAATTCTTTTTATTAATAAAACACACACACGCTGTAGTACTTTGTAGAACCTCAGTTGCCATAACAACTGTATTATAGTAACGTTGGAATTGTTTAGCATTTACATACTCGCATTTAAAGCTGCTGGAGTGTAAGTGGCGTTCCCACATAATGAACCATTTTGCATCAAAATTCCTGTACCTGCTAAAATAATCTTAACTATTGAATTTTGGGTTTACACAGCGTTCATTATGGAGAATTCTATCTTCTGGGATATAACGCTGCCTCCGTCATGCTGCTGTCAATCTTCGTTTACTCTTCAACCCTAAAGATGGAGGAGTTGTATTCCTCCGAAACGTCTGTTAACTTCCAGCTAACTACATGGCGTTATATCGCAGAAGATAGAACTCTTCATTCTGAGTTGTTAATTATTAATTACAAAATATACCTTGATGTTTCCTAATCAGTTTAAATAATTTGAACATAAGTCAAAGCATTTGTTTGTGACGATTACAAGGAAGAATTTTTAAGCATAAAAATGTTAACGGGCGTAACGGCGAAATTCATCTACGATCCGCTATTTAAATGTCGGTTTCTGTCTCCAAGAAAATACACAATATCTTCTGTTACAAAGGTCAGATGATAAAGTGTAAAGAAATACAGCCAATGTTTTTGTTTTGCGTAGAGAATAAATGAACTCATATGAACTAACTGCTGTTTGTTGAACGTTAAGGAAGATGTAGTTAGCGTTGCTCTAGGGTATACTGATTGAAATATGCGTACTGAAGTATTTGCACGGTTGCAGCTAAACTTTGCTTTAGTAACTTTTGATATAAGTGTCATGATTTGATGCATTCTTTTGTTATTGTAACTGCTTTAGTTGAGAGAAAATATTAACCACATGCATACTTGTACTTTAGATATGGAAGACAATATTTTATATATTACTCTTGCATACAGATACCTTGTTTTCTCTAAGCACTATGTTAAGGCAGGCAAGTCTACAGTCGTTGTTAGAGTAATGACCTCCTTCATGAAGAAGTGTAAATGTAGAGTGTTTCCCAAAATCGCAACGGATTCACCAAGGACTTTGTACTATAAAAGTGCTATAAATAGTCCACAGACAACGTACCCGACATGTAGACCATGACCTGCCTCGTGTCGTCTACGCCTCGTCAAAGTACTTGCAGAGATATTTAGCGAAATTGGGCATGGATACATTTCTTCCTTTTATCTAAAATGTCTGTAATTGTGCAAAGATATGGCAGTAATATTGTTTAATTGTGATTAATATTACGCCATATGTAGGTCACGGGATTTAATTTATGAAAATTATCTTGTAACACTTAATCTTTGCCGCGATTCTGAAGTTTGATCTCGAATATTCTCTTACATTCACTTTAAGTGATCTCGTTCCTCTACTGTTAGTTGTAAGGGTTTCAGGTTGCTCTGAAACTATTTATATGAAGTAATTTTAAATCATTCTCACCTTTGGGTTATGGCGAAAGCTTCGGTTCACATCATCATGGTAATTTGAACCACGTGATCAGGGTGTACGAGTGTGGCGTTTTATTCGGAACTATTTGATATTTTGGCAGGTAAATCGAAAATATTTTTAATTTGAATGCATATGATTAGTTATACAATTTCATATTTCACTTTAAGCAGTTAAATCATGTACCTATAATTATTACTTTTCGTTGATTAAATTTAAAGAGGCTATATATATATTTCTTCGTTGTTATTCTACATAAAATCACACGTGAAATATAATTCCATAACCCAGTCTTGTGAGACACATCACGTCTTACAGCACGGTATTATAAAACAAACAAGAAATTTCTTTAGTGCCACTGAAAATTCCCACCAGTTTGTGATCGGCTAGTATCGTTGAAATCGTGTAAGACAGTACCATAGAACGTGAGAATCCAGTGGTGGATGGACGCCAGCAGCTTCGTGGTGGTCGAGGTAGGGCGCTGGACGTTTCCCGTCGCGAACAGCACACTAACTGACTGAACGCGAGAGTGCACACCTCGTGGGTGTCTGCTAGCAGGCACATTGATCTGCTCATGTCCCAACTGCTCCGCCAAGTGATAGCATTGGACTTTATCTTTCGCTCAATTCACGCCAAGCACGTAAATCCAGTCTCAGCGACAATGTCATATTTCATGCAATCGACTATTTCCTGCTCGATGTGCACACGGCCTTGTTTATTTGCTGAATCAATCAATTCACAAGCATCATTAAATAAATGTCGTTTTGTGAGCTGATTGATTCATATTGTATTCTTCTAGCTTATGACCCCATGTGGTCTTGTCGATAGGTACCATTTTTTTCCAGAGGAACGTATTGGATCCATGATCAGGGTATTAAATCTGGTGGTGGATTATCCAGTTATTTAACGACGATTTAACAACTGCATACACACCACTTTGGAAACCTAAACGTAGATGGAAAGATAATATTAAAATTAGTCATAAGAAAGTGGGCTGTTAGAAGTGTGCACAGGATATATGTGGCTCAAATTATGCTACTCTAGCGGGATTTTGCGTAGACGCTAATGAACATTTGAGTTCCAAAAAAAGCTAAGGTATATCGTGACTACCTAAACGACTGTTAGTTTGTCAAAATAGTTTACTGTCACAAATTATAAAAGAAAAGTTTGTTAATGACCCAAGGTTTGAAGTTCTTATTGGAACTTTATAATATGTACACGGTGTGTCCAGGATCCGTTATGACTCATTTTTTTAAATTTTACCCTGCATTGCCATCTGTTGGCGAGTTGTAGCGTTAAGATTCTTGAAGTTTCAGCTGTGGCTGTCTGTAATTTCAAAGCGCAAGCATCGCTGCATCATGTGTTCTGACCTTGAATATAATAGCGCTGTTCTGACGCTCGTCGGAAAATGGCGGTTGAACAGAGAGCCAACATCAAATTTTGTTTGACGTTAGGCAAAACAGCCGGAGAAGCGTACGAAATGATGAAAAGTGTGTACGGTAGTGATTGTTTGAGTCGCTCGACCATTTTTCGTTGGTATACGGTTTCGTGACGGCAGGGAGGACATTGAAGACGCTCCAGGTGCATCAAAGCCGAGAAGAAGTGGCACTGAAGAAAATGCGAAAAAAGTTACCGAAATCCTTGCATCAGACAGATGTGTTTCTGCAAGACTCGACTGATCGAGGAGCTTTTGGGAATACCAAAAAGTACTGTGCATAAAATTTTGACCGAGGATTTTGGCAGACGGAAGGTCTGTGCGAGGTTTGTACCGCACACGCTGTCAGGCGATGAAAAACATGCCAGAGTGGAACACTGCAGAGACATGTTACGGTCGGCCCAAAGTGATTCAAAATTTACAAAATCGATTGTTACTGGTGACGAGACATGGTGTTTTCAGTATGAGCCTCTCACAAAGCGGCAGAGTGCAGCGTGGTTGAACCCAAAGAAGCCATCCGAAACCAAAGAAAGTGCGCATGCAAAAGAGTTTAGTAAAGACACTGCTAACCGTTTTCTTTGATTCCAAAGGAATCATTCACAAGGAATTTCTGCCAGAAGGTCAAACAGTGAATTCTAATTATTATCTCGGAGTCCTCAATCGATTGTGGGCGAGAATTCTTCGAATTGGACCTGAATATCGAGAGGAAGGTTCCTGGTCGCTCCTGCACGACAATGCCCCACCCCGCAAATCGAAGATCGTGCGCGATTTTTTGGCCAGAAAAGGGATCACAGTCCTTGATCATCCTCCGTATTCGCCAGATTTGGCACCAGCAGATTTCTGGTTGTTCCCAAAAGGTAAGTTGGCGATGAAAGGAGTCCGTCACGACACCATCCAGGACATTCGAAGGGAGTCTACCTCAGTTTTAAATGCGATTCCACAAAAGAAGTACAGTGACTGTTTTCGAAAACTTTTCAATCGATTCCAGCTATGTGTTGATTCAGAAGGAGACTATTTTGAATAAAAAGAGTGAAATTTTGAGAATAATTCACATCTTGTATTTTTAATGAACACAGCCCTAACGGAACCTGGACACACTGTGTATAACACAAGGAACAGAACCAACTCTGAGACATCGCGTGTATCAACTATTCCTCGCTATGGACAGTATAAAATATAACGTTAAAATAATGAATCAGCGATTCTTACAAACCTTCGGAAACCGACCGGTCACAGTGGCTCCGCAGCATAAGGTGTGTGAAAGCTTATATCGCTAGTTCGATTCCTACTCGGGACATGAAAGTTACATTTTAGCCCTCTTTTATATGTAGACGTCTCGCATTGACTCACATATCCGTCAGAATGCCTAAGCGAAGGGATCAATTACTTCAGAACAAATTATGAATTGGAGTATACAAGAAAGAATTAATACATGTAAATTAACAGTTTGAGATAAAGGTGATACTTCGTGATAAATTAAAAATTGCTGGTCTATGGCCCTCCAGTACTGAGAAGACAAATTTGAATCCCGCTTAAGGCTTGGATGTTTTTCTCGTTGTTCTGTGTTTTACTGGAATGGTACAGGGCTTAGAATTGTATGACACTTAGTCTAAGTAATCCTGCCTTTTGCCATCTGGAAAGTATGTGGAAAGCTTCTACAGATGAGGGGGCCACGATATCAGTCGGTCAATAGGAGCAAAAAGGACAGGGGAAACTGAAGCACTGAAGTTAAATCTTGACTTTCATTTTGCGGGAAACTCATTGCGTTGTTGTTGCGTGCGATAATATTTTGAAACACTTACGTGACTCTTCGGACCATATGTCCTCAAAGCTCAAATCTTATTTATATATTAAAGTAGTTTGTGCCTGTCCTAAGTAATTTAAATTGAAGCTTTTGATCTTCAAGAAATGCAACCTGTTGTGTTTATGTATGACAATTTTTTTTATCCGTCACAACAACACAACTCTCAATGCTCTGATTCATATCAAGTGTGTATAATGAGTTTATTGATCTCAGTGGTATAACTTGCTACATGTTTCGACTTATTAAAAAGCTATTTTCGGGAAAAATTAATAGTTTAAGAAAATTGCTATTAGTGTATATTTGCCCTATGAAGGCTTTTAATAAGCCAAAACATGTAGCAAGTTATACCACTAAGATCAATAAACTCATTATACACACTTGATGAATAATTTAGGAGCTATTTCAAGGAAATAGCGGCTCCGGTCTAGAAACCCGAAATTAACGGCCATGGGAATTCGTTGCGCTGACCACGCGACACCGTCTATCCGCTAAAGTAGGCACTAACTTCGCCGACAATCGGCGGTCCCTCGGTCGGTGTAGTTCGCTTGCGGACTACAGGCCACGGAGTTTGTTTTTGTTTTACACACTTGATTTGAATGAAAGTATGAGAGTTGTGTTGTGACGAGTAAAAAAATTTGAAGGTATTAGTTCTATGCATTATTACAGTAATTGAGTGAATATTGCCACAGTAAAATTCTTTGTAAGTCGATGAAAATCAGGTCTAATTATAAGATATCTAATCTTATAATCTTGAGTTATATCTTATAGGAATACGTTATTATATATTACGTAATTGTCTGTACCTTTGTATTTTGTTGTATAATTTGTCCTTGTGTATGTATCATATCATAGATAATAAACTCTGTATTTTTTGCAGGTAAGTGATTGTGTGTGCTGCGAAGTGCTCATTAGCGTTATCAGTCTGTCCTCGTCACTGATATATCAGCTTGCGGAACACTGCATTTGTCAAGGAGAAAGCCGCATCTTAAGTGAGTCCTTCGCTTTGATATTGCCCACATTTTTGAAGTGGTTTAAATTTATAAATCTGTTTAGTGGATTTCCAAGGGCTTTATGATATGTGTACAAAAGTTAAACAGCTGGCAGTAAGCTGTCATAATATCGAGATACCTGATAAATAACTGAAGATCGTCTTCTTTTCGTTATCTCGCACATAGATTATTTGTACCCGTCTGTCTGTGTACCCATCAAATAACGTAAAAATGACTTCACTACCGGGGATTTTACTTGGCCATAAAGCAGACGGCCAAGACAGAGATTGGGTTCATTCTTGTGCCAGATCGATCCAACACGCCAGTAAGTACAAGACATACAAAAGTATCCTTTTCAGGTTATTTCCTTCTTTAAGGAAGAAAGAAAGATGATGGCTTATAAGAGCACCGTATCGTCTTATGTGTATGTGAGAGGATGGAAAATTATATTTTTCTTTGTCTGCATGATGTAGATTATATGGGTTGAAAATCTGAGAAAGCGAATCATTAGTCTCCGGTTACTTTCTTTCTCTTTATATCCAAACGTTCTCTTCGGTGCCCTGTCTGCTAATCACCCCCAATCTGTGTTCTCTCTTCTTTTTTTTTCCTTGGCACTACGGCCCCAGTGGGCCTAGGCCTACCTCCATTAACTTCTCCGTTCACTTCGGTTTTTCTAGATCTTACACATTCGGTAGGACTACTTGGGCGGGTGATCAGCTCGTCGCAAGGCCTCTACCTGTACACAAACACAGATAAACGCACACACAAACTAAACATCCATGCCCTGAGTGGAATTCGAACCCAATCCCGGTTTCCAAGCGAACAAAGACAGTACATGCCTTAGACCGCTCTGCTACCGTGACCGGCGTTCTCTCTTTAGGTTGGGGAAACAAAGCTTTTCATTGTAAGATTTGANCTGCTTTACCGTGTCTCACGGTGTTGTCGCTTGCAGATTTACCTATACTTTTTCTTCAACCCTGAAGATGGGGGCGATACGTTCCTCCGAAACGTCGGTTAACACCACATATACACGGCGCCAAATCCCAGAAGACTGCTTTCTTCAAAGCTTTTCATTCATTAATTTTCTGAGTAAGCTTGTATTCTTCATAAGACGATATACGAGTACAAATGTATTATGTTTAATTATCAGGCTTGTGTATTGCTTTGACTTGATATAGGCCAACATATAATTCAGAATAACATACTTATCGACCTTACACTAAGCAGACACGAATAGCGGATGTGAGAGACCAGCTCTGGGGCCCA